ATTCTGAGAAGCACTTCAGAATACTGAAATGTAAAACCTTTATACTTTGACCTGTCATCACTTGAGCTTTGCTGAAGAATAACCAAATACCATATTTTTGCAAGAGCTGTTAAACAAAGTGGTTTTTTTCCTATGATCTAATTCATTGTGTTTGCCTTTCAAGCTCTTTCATTCCCTCAAGTTAATGTGCTATTACTTCAGTTGCATAGCACAATACAGAATTGCAGAAAGTAATTGTACTGCAATCTATCAAAACTAAGGTTTTATTCAGTCTTATCTAGTAGTAAATAGGACAACACTTGGCTGCTTAGTTGGTAGCCTGATAATACCACAACACTTAATGAAGGCACAATCAGTGTGTGAACTGGCCTATACAGTTAAAAAAAATTTTTTTAAATCTTAAAAATATTTCAGTGGAATTTTTCTTTGTCTAGAAACATGTCCAGGAGTATTAGGAAAAATGTAACAGTGATAGTTTTACTGAAACTTGAAGTCTTACTGCCTGACATGCTTTTGTTCTGGGTCAACTGTGAAAAATATGTGTAATCTTGCGTAGTGATCTTCCATCGTGATTTCCCAAGGAAACGCCGCTTATGCAATCATGTTCTGTTTGTGTACGTTTCTTTATTTTTGTTTGTTGATTCTCTCCAAATAACTTCTGAACCTGATAAAGACTTTCAGGCACATGGGACAACGTAGCAGCAGTCCCAGAGGTAATTATGCTTCTGTAAACTTCATAAAAACGTACATTCTGTTACGAAACAGAGAGAGAGAGAGACCTCGTACACCCATTTAAAAAAAATTCATAACTACAAGATCAATCCTAGTGAGCACCAGGAAACCCACAGGAGACTGGAAGCCACAACAGATTGGCATCTGCTAGAGGTAGCACGGGGGTCAGCACAAAACAAGCTATCCAGGCAAAGTTGAGGAGAATAAGAACAAGAATAGTGTGGTTAACAGCTTGCTGCACATTCTTTTGTGCCAACTGACATCAGGATGAGGGGAAAACATTTAATTTCATAGCATAGACCTCAACTTTGGGTCCAGCATAGCTGGAACATCTGGCCCAATAGTCTCAACTGTAGTCCTCTTCATGATTCTGGGGACAACAACATTTTCCAGAAAAGTTTTTAGAGGCCAGGTATTATCAAGCATAAAGAAATTTGCCACTACTGTTATTCATAATATTCATTCGCTCTATACTGTTGGAGCAGGATCCATGCGATACAATGCCATGATACAGTACATCCTAGTAATGTGGTAATCTGCACTAACCTGTGATTCCATGGGTGATAGTAATGGTTATTCCTATAGGCAATGAGTTAAAAATAAAAATTAGAAGAAATAACCAAATTATAATGGAAATTTTTCTATTTTATATCTTGTTTCAATTTACAGAATATTTTTTTTAAGCACCGAACTATATACAAACGATATAGACACTCAGTTATTCAGGTCCTCCAAAATCATGCTTACTTAAATGAAAGCCTCTGAGTCTGAGACTTACCTAAAAGGAGCACCTGTTTCATGGCTTGGAAAACTTGCTTTGCCATTCCCTTGTGGTACTCAAAGCATGTGAAAAACTTACTTGACTGTAATTGCTGTCCTGCTCAGATCAGTGCATCTCATAAGAATAAAGACACTGAATACCAACAAAGAAGGCACTGAAACTGAAACCATTACAAGTTGGCAAGTCTTTGCCCCAAGCTTCAAATCCAAACTGAACTCTGAGCTCCCCAGATATGAAGCCATCTCCATAGGGTGTACCACAGAAATGGCTTCAAGGTGTTAACACTTTGCTTACCACATTTGCTTCAAAAAAGTTTATTTTTCTACCCAGGCTTCTGATTTTCATTCAAAAACAAAGGGAGTAGTCAAAGTCTATATAACTGAGTACAGTACTACAAAACCTAAGTTTTCAGAAAGTTTCTATTCCCACGTGGTATTTAAGTAATAGTATTCACCTCTTTTTAGTTAGACTACAAAGTAAACCCAGAGGCACAGAGGGGCATCATGATCCAGATGCTAAAACACATTTGTAAAGGTTGACTCACAAATGAGCACAAGGGTTTCAGAAAACTTGAGCTGAGTGCTGAGAGAGTCTGCCATCTCTACTGAGCACTCTTGTGAGTCACTGGTCACGCTCACAGAATACAGAAAGAACACCCTTTGTGAAATAGGGTTTTTCAAAGCATTTTTATAAGCTTTCCAGTAAAAGAGCTAATATTTCATAAACATACTCTGATAATTTTTACTTATATAATCTTTAATATAGAAGATATTAAATGTTTTAATTTTAATAATAATATATTTACTAATACTTTATTAATATATTTCTACTACCACAAGGGAAATAACTGTACACTCAAATCTGTGTTGTGTTGGTTTTCTTTTTCCCTAGCTGGTTGTATCACCATAGAAGCTAGTATCAGATTTTCTTTTACAGCAGTAATACAAACGAATACAACTTGAAATAGAAAACTTATATTAATGCTATGCTTAAAAAACTTATTTTGAGAAGCCTGGAAAAAACAAATAAGACAAGATCCAACTACAATAATAATAACAACAACTAAAATAAATAACATGCTTCATGCACAATACAGGACAACCTACCATGGTCTTTAGATAAATAGCTACTGCCTTACTCTTAGAACAGTCAGTTAAAGTGTAAACAACTAATGCTTCTCAGTGATTTCAAACTAGAATTCTTCTTTTTATGCAACTGCTCAGCAAGGCTTCTCACTTGGGCAACACATTGCTGGGAAACCATCAGAGCTTAGGAGGACTAGCATTTCTGTAATCCAAATCCTGTTGCGATACATCTTGGAACGCAAAATTTAATATTGAACTCTAAAGTCTTCAAGTTGGATGTTAAATTACTTCATCACCCACATGAACTAATGCTTTTCTGGTTCCCAGTAACCACAAAAGAATGACTGACATGCATGATTCTTGTATCTATGGCATTCACTTCCCTAACCTTCTGTTCCCAGTAAGACCACAAGGAGTGCAAACCTAAATTGAATGAATATCACTTAACTCCAGCACATCCAAACCTCTAACCACGCGATCTTGTGAACTGAACATCACGTCAACTGGATTTTCCTGCTAATACATTTCATAGGATTCTGCATCTCACCTTTAAGGCAAGGAATAAAAATTCTTTTGGTCCACTTTGATGATCCATGAAAAATGCCAGCAGTTGCTGCTATGGTCCTCCATCTTAAGCACATGAAATACCACTCTGAAGTGGCTTGTATACAAGGAGAATACAGTGGGGAAACCTCTGTCTAAGTGTTAGGGGCACTCATCCAGAGGTAGTTCATTCACACTCACTGTTTCCACCTCTTAAAAGACTAACCAAGCCATTTCTAACCCCTCAGATTAAACTGGGCTACTGTAGGTATTTATGAGAAGTGCATATGGACAGACAACGAGCAACAGAGCATCTGAATCTGATGAGAATGTCACTGCTAGCCTTCAAGGACAACTTATGGATTTTGTATTAACGTCATGGTCAAATAGCAGTCAGCATATACAGAGATGAGACTCATTTCATCGGCAATGTTGTATAAAAAAAGTCAATACCATAAAACTAGGGTTTAGATGGTGATGATACTTAAGGCTGCACAACACTCAAGGCATTTTGTTTTGTTATTGTTCTCAATAATGTCTGCAGTGTCTCTTTCCCTAACAGGTGATTAATATACATTTTAAGAGTACATGCTCAGTACTATTGCTAAGATACAGCATATTCAAGTTTTATTCATTATGAATCCATACACATATTTGTTTGAAGTTCCCATGTCAGAAGATGCGTAGAAATGCAAATTAAACAGAAAAAAGAAAAATACAGAGGAAATATTTTTTTATTTCTAAACACAACTTGTAATATCTTAGGATTTAATTTACTGATTTGTAATTCTATCCCTTACTCTAGATTTCCTCAATATTTGCAAACATCCTTATAAACATCCAATCATTCTTCAACTGAAAGTTCACCAGCGACTATATAATATACAACATAAATGCTGTTCATTCCATACCATTTAATATTCCCAATATTAAATGTAACACCTGTAACCGTATAATTTTTTTATTATTTTTTTTTTAAGTGGAGACTGTTCAGACAGTTAGCTGTAGCTCATTTAAATGCGGGGTGTTGTTTTGGGTTATTTGCATATGGAAACATATGTCAGAATACATCCACAAACTCACAAACGTAACAACTACTTCAAATCAACAGCTCTATATAACGAAGATATTCTCAGGAAGGAACAAAAATTAATTTAATTCAACCTGCAGGAGATAACAAAATGTGTATAATTTAATCGCATGGCTTACACACAACAGTAAAGTTTCCCATAGATATTAAATATGGACTTTTAGACTTGGTAGTATTATTTTCAAATGAGTGACCTACACATACAGAAAATAGTGTTACTAAAGTATCGCTTATTCCACTGACGCTTCTAAATGTTTCCTTCCTAATTCATAGGTTGCTTCTGAGCAGATTAGATGGAAATATCATTCCTGCCCTTCCAAACACTGGCTACAAACACACAATCACAGAGCTTTGTCAATGTCATTGTCTGCTCTAGTGAGGAATGCTGTTCAGTTTCTTTGTCTAGAATAGAATTAAAAAATGAAAGTATTGGAGACCAGTGAGTTAAACAACCCAAACTATATATGTCAGGTACATTAGTGTTACCGTTACATATACCAGTCTTCCCTGTGATAGTGTATACAGTGTAGTACAAGTCTTTGACTAGCTGTTTATTTTAGTTTTAAATTGATGGCAGTGCCTTCCTGTATTTTCCACGTCCATCCCCGTTCACTCATTTCTATGCAATTTCTTAACTTGACAGTTGCTTAGAAAATCTACTGCACACTACATTTCAGAACACCTCAACTTTCTTATCCAAGGTTTGGTTTTACATTCAAAATATAAAGACTTTTTAATTGAAGAAGGAAGAGGCTGATCAGTTACTCACAGTCTCTCCAGGGACCTCAGTCCAAAGAAAGAGCCATTCTTCAACCATAAGATCTTGTTGTTACTCAGAATCCTAGAAGAATTCAGGAAAGAATTTGGTTAATAGAACACGATAATTCTACTGATTAAAAACATGCAATTACAGTAAATGACTGCTCTGTAAAATACTAATCACAAAATTCTCTGCTTCATTTGCATTTTCCCAACGTAGCAGTTCATAAAGATTACCATTTTCTGAAGAAGCTAGTTTCTTCTTTATTTAATAATAAATGCACTTTCAAGAATGTCAACAAATGAACTTTGGTTGCAACTTGAAAAGTATGACATTGGTAAGTGCCCCCACTTCACTCGCTGATTGAAAGTTACCATTGGTAAACATATTTGTTGCATTTCCCAGCCAGGAAAAGGCTGATCGAGCAAGAGATGTGTTAAGAACTGTTCCACAGTTACTGGAAGACAGTATAACCACTTTTCAGTGGCTGCTACAGCAGGGATGTACAAAGACTGACTCTGCCCTTTGTACAGTAGAAATTTAGTAATTCAGCTTCATCTGCCCCATTCACAACCATGAAGCACACACGCAAACTCTGTGCATGCAAGCAAATGAAAAATATGTCAGCTCTTCTTGTTCCTACTGTCAATTTCACAAGAGGTCCTAATTCGGTGCTTTTCATCGCTACATTTCAGAAGCAGTACAATATGAACACGCAACTTGTTCTGATGATTAAAATTTATTTAATACCTATTAAAATTTATTTAATACCTATTAAAATTTTACAATTCACAAAAGAAAAATTAACTGATTTCAAAGTTCAATAAATCATTTTTTTTCTACAGATCTAAGGATTGCACAATGTGCAGGAAAAAAAATTCTGCTAACAAATCTTTTTCCAAATGCTTAAAAAATGGGTTCTCCTACATAACATTTACATTTTTGTAGTACACAGAAGATGACTTCAAAGTAAGAGACATTGCTTGTGATAAAGCTGGTAACAAAATTTCAAAAGACATCTTTTGCTCTTAGCTAGCAAACTTGATTCATTAAGTCTCAACTTTTTATTTTTGTGATGTTTTACAATAATCTGTTGCACAAGACTATCTTAATTTGTCTGGCTCTTAGTATTTCCTATTACATATAAACAGCAAGTGCTTTACACAGCACATACACCTTAGAACAACTTTCAAGTCCATATACAAGAGACAACACCACTGATAATAAGACAAAATAATTTCTGTTATTGGACACTTAAAATGCTAGCAAGAATCAGACATGTACAATTAACCTGATGCAATTTGATGACCCACTATCAGAAGACATGAATAGCAGAGCAACTCAGTTCTGAGCTAGGAACTGATCTGGTACTACACCAAGGTGTCATGAATATGCCCGGGCAGCATTACTGCTTAACCAGAGCAGGTCACTATAAAACACTAGTGGCAATTTGAAATCAGACAAACACTTAAACCCAAGTATTTTAAAGCACACAGAATCCTATTTCTATCACCAAAAAATACAGCTCCACTATACATAAGCATTATTCTGTCATCAACTAGGAAACTGTATTTCACAAGATTTGCCTCTTACTTCTCAGATAAAAAAGATTGTATGTATTTCTCCAACAGCTACTTACTACAATCTTAGCAATACATTTCAGCAATGACAAGACCACAAGGCAGCAAGCTGTTCAATCTGCATTATCTGTCAGATTGTGGTTTTGTTGTTTTTTGGGTTTTTTTAAAAACTTTATAGGTACTTACACTGTGACTGACTAAACTGAAGAATCGCTTTTAAATTATGAACATGTAAAAAGAAAAACATAAATACATAATTCTTTCTATTATTATATTTTGTTCGTATCTTCTGAGGCTGCACTGCACTGGGATCATTCAGGAAAAAAAAGCAAAGTCTGAAAATAAAAATTGGCTGGGCTTAGAAAGACTAACATCTTAAATTCCATTTCATATTGGGTCATTTGGTTATACGCTGTGTTACAGAGAGACCATCTCTAAGGTCTATTACAGTGACATTAGGTATAAATATTATATTTGGACTCTTCTGGATAGTCTGATTTGCAAAGATACACGTACTTCAGAACTTTCATCTGGCTTAGATACAACTATTTCTGTCTTTGAATAACGTTCATGGTGCCAATTTGTTTTTCCAGACTTTTGTTCATCAAGCCTAGAAAAAGAAGGCAGTCTGAACATTCCTGGCAAGTCCATAAAAGTCCCACAAGTCTCCTACTCCACCTCTGGGTCTCCTCTATGTACATGGAGAGAAGGTGGTATCTTTTACATAAATAAACTCAAAATAACAAAATAAAACAAAGAAACGAAAGGGAACTATCTAACTAATAATAAATTACAAGTTTTATGTGAACACTCAGATCATAAATATGGCAATATTGCAAAACATGAGCCATGCTGCCATCTCACTGAGTCATTATTTCATTTTTCTGAAGGAGAAATTAAGTCTTTAGAAATACAACAGTCACTAAAAAATTAAAAAATATCACAGAGCACACCTACATTGATTTGTGTTTCTGAAGTAACTCTTTCAAATCTTTACACCAGACTTTCACAGAGACTTTCACACAGAGATCAGGTTTCAAAACTTAGGTTTCCTTCAGGGCCTTCTCTTTACATTGCCAACCAAAATGGAGGTTCTATAAACATGGTAGTATGGATGTTATAGTTAAAATAAAATTGTTTTTCTGTTCAGAACATAGAAGAATCTTGCCTTTATAGAAACCCAACATTCCAATAAGGTCTGTGGGAAAAAATATATATATTAATTGTTAGGGAAGAATTATAAGTTATCTACATTTCATTGAGCTTGTTGGTCTGTTAAACAGGAAGGATACACCTGCTTTTAATTAGCTTCAGTCATGCCCAAGAGCTTGCAACAGGCTGCAATCAGAATGGATTTGGTTTGCACCAATGGAGCTGGTCTGTAATTACAAAAACCTGTGTCACTAGCAAATGTAAATCACATTATTTTTGTACAGTAATTAATCACTTATTAAAGTTTTAGTGGAACTCATGAAACTGTTCCCTTCCAAGGACAATTGGTGTGAGTAGAAGCTAGAAAGGAGAAAAATTACCCTGTTCAGAATGCAAAAACGGAAACAAGGCTTAACTACAGGTGATGAAAAGAAAACCCTCTCAAGGAATCAATGCCTAGTAAAATTATAGCTCTGACTTGTGATGCTGAAGTTACACTGAATAGTTTTGTATATTACTTCTTCAAAAGTGACTGAATATACACAAAAAATAAGAATTATAACTTATGTTAGTTATTACTTTTCCTTTAAATACAGTCACCTGCTTAATGACAAAATATGTCATTAGAGATCATTAGAGATCAACAAAAATTCAAGGAAAAAGAACATCCTTTTTACACACTAACAAGAAACACAAAGGTTTATTAGATAAACACATGGGAAAAGGTGCTATTCATATGTTCGATTTTGGATCACTTCCAGATGTAAAAGTACTTTTAACCACATCAGAAAATAAATCACTTAGTAAATGATTAAATATAATTTTCGTTTTTTTTTAGAACAAATCACTTCTGTGCACACACTGTTATGGTATATTTCTCACATCTTATTTATTCACAGCATTTTCACTTGTCTTATTTTTTCTCTTATGCCATTTAATCACAATGATTAAATAAATATTGCAGCAAGACAGCTGGTTTAAATAATTATCAGTTTCTAGCCATGTGTTAAGAATCTCACATTATAAATATTTTATTCTGAGAAGAGAAACACTAAGAAAATGAGCACTCTTTATTTCAGTGAAGCTATTTTCCTAAACCAAATTCCATTCAATGTTTTACTTTTCTTTTAAAAATAAAATAAGTAAATCATTTCCTAGAGAAGCCTTCTGTGAAGGTATTTATTTTAGAGTTCAGTTTTCAAATTGAACTCTAGTACTCAACATATGTCATGATCCAAACCCAAAGTAACCAGAAGATAAAATGCAAACCAAACATATCAGATGATGGTACCCTCAGTTCTACTCCTCATGGGATCCATCTAACTAAAACAGCACCACTAACCTGACCAGACACTTACTGAATTTCATTAAGCATTTTGCATCTTATGGCTCCTTCTCACAAGACATTCCAGGGGATCGTTTGCCTCAGGGCTGGTGTTCAGAAGACAGTAACTCTACACCAGGTTTGTCTTACCCCACAGGCTCTGAAGGGGTGTCCTTCAAATTCTCTCTTGTGACCTGTAGGTATATCCTAGAGCACATTACCTACATATCATGCAAATACACTTCTGGGCTGCAGCACAGGCTATGTGCTCTTTCATCCATACGTTCAAACAAATCAATCCAGCCTCAATTTTACACAGCAATACTATTTATCTGGGAGGTACAAGAACCAGTGGTAAATGCAATTCAAAAGCGCAAAAGATCTGCTATGAGATAATTAGCCAACTGGTGCCCCCTATCTCCTTAGGCCAGATCATAGCCCTCTTAGCAGCATGGTCATTCAGTTTTTCCTTTTTACCCATATAAAGGTTGAAGGTTCACGTTTACATGGAAATCTTTTTTCCCCTCTTCTCTGGAAGAAGTGAGTGTGGTGGGAAAAAAACCATACAAATAGTTGATATTCAAGGCCTGCATGTTTAATGAATCACAACCCATTCCACTGAATATCTTCCTGGTCCCTCCGTTAGAATTAATTGAACACAAATCTTAACACAGTTATCTTAAATGGCTTCCATGAGTTTTGCCTTAGTGAAAGGCTGAAAAAAAGTCTGCAGAAATATGTAATCCTGTGCAACAAAGTCTTATTCAGGTGTAAAACACATCCAGAAAAACTAACATAGCATTTCAAAATGCACCAAATAAAAAACTCTCAATCATAATGCAAACAAACTTCACCTACAACCCCTCAAGCAGAGGAAAAGAATCCATATGCCATGCCCTTGAAGTCAATGGACTTGGGTTCATTCATCATAATAAACAAATTCCACAACTGAGGCCTCTACAGCAAGATGATGCCGCATCCCACTCAGTAAAACCTACAGTGTGAGCTCATGCTGCAGCAAGTCCCACGGAAAAACCCCATTTCAGATAAACAGGCCCAAGAAAGACAAAACATTTAGATGGACCATCCTGTTCCAAATGCATACTGAACATAGAAGGAAGAGTGACTCATTGTTGAAAATATGCATTTCCTCTGATAATACTCACAGGAAAAAAATACATTTATTTACTTTTCTTAAGCGAAGACTAAGAAAATGTCAAATTGCATTGGATTTTCTACTGAGCAGTCTAGGAAATAGTTCAGACCAGACTTAACCCAAATTTGTATCTAGCTGATAGATGAGCTGAACAACCAACATCTAGAAAATGAATTTCTTTGAGCTCCTTCACTCACAGCATGCTCCAAGACCAGTTGAAGGTACACAGAAGTACTGCAGAAAAGAGCAACCACTCTTGCCAGTGCTTTACACTTCCTTTTAATTCCTGTTGCTTTTTTCCCCAATTTATAGATTAAGAAGGTGTGCTAGATGGATATCCAAGGTAATTTGACAAAAGAAAGCTCAGTCCATGAAGACAGTAAGTCTGGGACCTCTGTGTGGAAGCCATTTGAAGAAATTCTTTTTCAAGTTCTGCAGTTTCTCTTATTGGTACCTATAATGTGATGGGGAAGTGCAGCAGTAATGGTGGGGTGGCAAAGTCTGTGGCTGCAGCAAATGAGAACAAGCCCAAATGCAGCAGCTGTAGGCAGAGAAACAAAGGAAGAAATTCTGCATACCTTTGGAAGACCTCATATAGGCAGAAATCTCCAGCAAGACAACTTCCCCCACTACCGACTCTAAAATGAAGTCTAGGAAGGGGTGAATGCTGGCACCACTCCTTCCAGTCACTCAGATTCATTACATGCACCTGAGCTCCTCTGGGTTGGCCCTGCCTTCCCATCAGGTGCTCAGTCACTGCTTCAGGCCGTGACTGCGTTTCTGCTACACTTATACACTAACTTCAATTCAAGCAGAACAGAATGACTTTTATTTAAAAAAACAAAAGCAAAAAACAAAAAACAGAAACAGCAACCAAAAAAGCCCCATATGTGCTAATAATAATTAGTCATTTTACATGGCACCCTGATAACAATAGACATGTAACACTATAAGCTGCTTCTTCTCTTAGACATTATGTGGTCAGATACAAAAGGTATGGGAGCAGACATCCCATAAACACCTAGGCACAGTAGTGCGAAATAGATGTGAAAATATTACTTCATTTCTTCATGGTGTCAAAATAAAAATGGAATTATTTATACTGAAATACCACAGTGTAAAATAAAAAATAATTTTTAAGGTTTTAAAAACCTCCTTGTTAAACCAAAACATGCATAATTCATTGAGACATGCACCATAAATACATATATTTAAAAAAAAAAAAAAATATATATATATATATATATATATATATATATGAAGGAGCTTTCAACAGAAAAATACCAGTAGTAATTGTAGCTACTACCTGAAGAACAATACTGACAGCTCACCAAACGAACAGGGTGTGTCAGACAAATACATATTTTGGTAAGCAAACAGAAAGTAGGAAAAACTTGTAAAGATGAGAAAAATGTTATCAATTTATATGACCATCTGCATGCTTAGAACTTAAGACAGTCATAGTGCCTCCTATTGAGTCTGAGTTTGAGAATATCCAAATTTTTTAAAAAAGCATTAAGAGAAGTTATCAGAATAGTACAGATGCACATAATATCTCAAGCAACATCCCTCTTAAGCAAGATAATTATGATCTCCTATGCTGCTTTTTTTTTTTTTTTTTTTTTTTTTTTTTTTTTCATTTTTCCCCCAAAATAAACCATATGTTACCAATGTTGTTAACAGGAGTCACGCAAACAGTAAGACCTGGCCACCTAGCACCCCAAATTCCTTTTGGTTTTATTCTAGCACTAGAAAAAAAAAACAGAAAATAATCAAAATTACCTTTACGTGTAGATAAGTAGTTTTACAAGTGGTAAAAAGAAGTGAACAGCTATAGCCAAAGCAACTCGAATGTACTAATTGTGCTTCCAATTAGAACAGTATCGATTGAAAGATATTTCCTCATCCTCATACTATTTGATAGCAAAAAAGTGATAGAATTATAAGCAAAGAGAAATTTTCTTCTAGATAATTATCCATTTGAGTGAAAATTCTTCCAAATATGCAAAAGATTCTAATTATCTGCCATACATTTGATAGAATGTAGTAAGAGAAACTAGAGCTCTCCTAATATGTGGCTCATTATCTGACCACTCATATTATGGAAATGTAGTACTGCTTTAGTTGAAAAGCACTGCTCAACTGCCTCACTTTCAGTAAATTAAAATATAAGGTGAAACTCTTATTTTTGTTTGAAGAGTGAAGAAACTGATGGCTTTTCACCAATAGTCCTCCTGCGTTATACAAGAGACTGCCAGGTCACATTCAAAATAACCAAGCCAAAGATTTCTTGCATAAATCATAGCAACAACTGATTTAGTTGACTAAAAATCATACTCAAAAGCATTTTTGTGTAAGCAACATCACAAACCAAACAGTGAAACAAAATATCACCATCCGTAGCAGGATACATAAGTCACGCTCTCTCTAATACTGGTTCAGTGGTATTAATGTATTAAGAAAAAGGAAGCAAGCAGGCCATTCTCAAAGAGAAATCTTAATATGATTTTGTAACAGTGGGGGAGGTAAAGAACTCCCAGCTTTCGAAACAAGCTCTCTCCACTACAGTGTGATATTCATTAACTGAATGGGAAAAGAAACAGCAGGAATCAAAGCATTACTAATAGGACTCTAAGTACTGCAAGAA